TAGATCAAAGTGTCATCAGGGCTCGTTCCTTCTGGAGGAGGATCCCTCCCAGGTTTCCTCCAGCTTCCTGTGGTTCCGACAATCCTTGGCGTTCCTCGGCTTACAGACGCCAACCTCTGTCTCCGTCGTCACAGGGCCTTCTCCCTGTGTGTCTCTCTCCGCTCCCCTACTTATAAGGACACCAGTCACATTGGATTTAGGGCCCACCCTGATCCAGTACAACTTAATATTAACTAATGACCAGAAGTGTGTGTGATATGGGGCTGGAGAGAGCAGAGGATGACTCCAGGAACTGATGGGTGGAGCCGATGCCCCGTGGGGCTGCTGAGCTCACACTAGCATGTGTTGAGTGGAGATGCCCAGCAACCTCCAAGGAGATGCACCGGGGCAGCTGGGGCACAGGTCTGAGCCTGCCAGTGTCCGGCAGGTGTCTCCCAGGTACGATACCGCACAGCCTCTGAGCTGGTAGGCAAGTGACTGGACAGGGTCTGGCCACCCACTTTGCAGGAAGCAGAGTGACAGTCTGTCACGCTGCTGTTGGCTCTAGGGCTCGACGCGAGTGAGGTCTGAGTCTTCGGCACCAGTGTCCCAGGCTCTAGACAGCACCGTCCCTGACGTCTAGCCACTGCTCTGCACCAAGGGGAACTGTGCCAGGGTAAGATGAAGTGGAGCATTGGGAAGACAGCAGTCCCTGGAGTCATGAAAACTGGAGGGTGAATCCTGTCTCCAACCCTACAGCTGGCTGACCCTGTAATTCATCATCCAAAGCAGGGACACATTTGAGAGTAGAGGGAGGCACTGTTAAATATTACCCAGGACAACAGGCATAAACGGGACAGTCCTGGTCACCTGACATTTGTGGATACCCCATCTGCAGCTTAGGAAAGTTACTGAACCACTTTGAGCCTCAGTGTTCTTATCCGTAAAGTGGGGATAGCTGTACTCACCTTCATAGGATCAAATGAAATACAGGATGCCTTCTAGAGAGGGCAGAGGGAAGGCTCTCAATAAATGGCACCTACAACAGTAACACTAATGGAAGTCAAATCTGTACCCTCCCTGGGAACTCACTCATATGCCTGTTCAGACATTCAAGCCCCCCCAAACCCTCACTTCCTCTGTGCTGAGTCTGTGCTAGCCCCAGGAATCTGCACCTGCCTCCCTGAGCTGCTTGTGAAGTCCTTTTTCAACATTCACCTTGGCCTTTTAGGAATCTTTCCCAGGGGGAAGAGACTGAAGACTCCTTCTTTAGTCTGAGAATATTCACGAAGATGTTCGGTTCTTTCCAGTGGACTAAGGGCTTTTGTAGACGGGCTCTCATTAACCCTCACCAGAGCGCTGCGTTATGAGAGCCATAGCTATTCCCCTTGTGAGTCAGGGGTCCTTCCAAAGCAGAGGCCAAATCAAGCTTAAAGTCTGTTTCTGAGGTGCAGTCCTGGGGCAGCAAGAGTAAGGGAAAGAGGAGGAGAGAAAAATCACGGGGACGGATTATTGAGCTGTCCCCCACTTCCCACGAATGACAGCTGTTTGCTGGGTTCTGTGGGATGTTTATCAGGCCTCCTGGTGGGCCCACTGCGCCCAGAGCATTCTAACCAGCTAGGGACGGAGCGATGTTGATTTGCTGGCTCCTTCCTGAATCCTGTTTCTAGTTGGTCGAAGTTCATTTGATGAAGTAACTCGCTCCCCTGCACTTCTGAGTCATGTTTTTCAACCCGTTGGTCGTTCCACCCCAAGGTGTAGAGCTTCACTCAGAAGCCAGAACAGGCGGGAGCAGCAGGGTCCCCAAGGGTCCAACCCTGTGGAGCCACTGCAGCTCCCCCTGTGGCAGGAGCGTGGCCGAGGCTGTGCTCTGGCCCTCACTTCGAGGCCAGTTAAGCTGGGGGTGAGCAGAGACTGTGATTGGGGCTCTCCACTGAGCAAGCAGCCGAGGTCTGGGGCCAGGAGGCGCCGAGTGGGTCTGGGGGTGACTGTGGTTGGGTGGATAATTCCCATTTTACATCTGAAGAAATGGAGGCTAGGAGATGTTCAGTAACTTGTCAAGAGGTGGACCCAAGTCTCGAACCCAGATATCCAAGCTCCAGTCCAGGCCCCCGTCCACCTGACCACAATGCAAGTAAGACAAATGTGGACGCTGGGATGAATTGCAGACACGGCTCGTGTCTATGGCCATGATTAACAGCTCACCTTTCCAAAAATGGAACCTACCTTCCTTTTAGCCTTCATTCATTTATCCCCTCGCTCACTTATTCATCAGGTAAGCACCTACTTGACTCCAGGGCTCTGTGCCTTCCGTCAACACCCGAATACTGTGCTGTGCCCCCAAGCCAGACCCAAAGTCGGCTCAGGCTCCAGCGGGCAAGCAGTTACCTTCACTCTGGGGCGGAATGTCCCCCTTGCTAAGTAAGCTCTTCGTGGTGAGTCTTCAGAGGGAGGAGTGAAGAATTGATGTGTAGAAATTAGAAGTTCCCGGAAAAGGTGGCATTTGAAGTGACTCTTGGGGGATGAAGAGGAATTTAAAAAGCAGGTCCTGAGGGGCTTCCCTGGTGGCGCAGTGCTTGAGAGTCCGCCTGCCGATGCAGGAGACGCGGGTTCGTGCCCCGTTTCGGGAGGATCCCACATGCCGCGGAGCGGCTGGGCCCGTGAGCCATGGCCACTGAGCCTGCGCGTCCGGAGCCTGTGCTCCGCAAATGGGAGAGGCCACGACAGTGAGAGGCCCGCATAACGCAAGAAAAAAAAAAAAAAAAAAAAAAAGCAGGTCCTGAGAGAAAGGACGTTCCAGACGGACAGCGCGGGCCGAGCGAGGGTGTCCCTGCGCGCAGGACGCTTTCAGGGAAAAGTGCGTCTGAAGCAGAAGCACAGGACTCCTTGTAGGTTTTGTTTTGTTTTGTTTTTTTCTCCATATAACCAGTTCCCTCAGTGTCAGAGAGCACCCAGCCCTAGGCCTTTGTCACTTGCTCGGGAATTAGGTAACTGAAAACAACAGAGAAAAGGATCATTGACGGAAACTTGCAAACAGCACCATCCCCCAGCCAGCATCTGCCTGAGGCTGTGTAGCTCACGGACAGCTTGAATATCCTCTCTGTTGATTTAATTACATACATGGCCAATGAAATGATTATGAAATTTTACTAAAAAGCCAGTGACATTTACAGAGATTACAATAGGAACTCTCTCGCATGCACTCTCCCTCTGGCCCTGGGAACACTGGTCCCTGGGCAGTGCACTTTCCCTGGCTGGCGTCCAGGCCAGCTAAAGTGCTGAGTAGAGGGGACACCATCCAAGTTGGGATGAACCTGGAGTGGAAGGAGCCAGAGTCAGACATTTTGTTTTGCATTTGGTGAGCCCTGCTGCTCCCCAGCTGGCGCTAGACGAAACCCATGACAGCGCTTAGCACACGCATTAGTTTTGTGAGTTTTTAACAAAGCTCACAAAGTAATCAGTGATTGCTCACTGAGTGCTTCCCAAAGGCTAAGTGCTGGGGGTGGGGAGAAGGCCCTGGTGTTTGGGCGGCCCAAGAAACACAGCAAGTCACTTGTGGCAAATGTCCTGAATAGGAGTTCAGAACAACACTGGGGTCCCGACCTGAAAAAAATTCCAACAACTGCTGACAGTAGGAGCAGCACGTTGGCACATGCTGAAAGGGGCCATTTGTTAACTGCCCGTGTCTGTTCTGCAGAGGAATACGAAGCTATAATGATTTATCGGTGTAAACGTTTAACGTTTACTTTGAGTAATACGGTTGCACCATTTCTCCCCAGCATCTCTCAAGCATACCAGGATGCTACCTATACGGCACAAAGCTTTCCGACGTTAATTGGTAAAGATGGTAACTCCACGATGCTAATCGACTCGGAGACATTAACCTCCTGGCTGCTGGGCTGGGAGTTTTGAAATGCGATCTCGGCAGCTGTAGTTATAATTGTTTAATGTCACATTGACCGGGCACGTTTACGATTTTTAACAACAGTCTTAAAAAGTCCAATGACATCTGTTGAGAGTTTAGTTGTGAGTGGGGAAAAAAAAATCATTAAAGGAACAGTCAAGAGATCAATTTTCAAACTGTTTAAATAACACGGTGGCCATCAGGCGGTGGCGGAATCTGGCGACATGAGTAATTTAATCTCCCAAGTCGCAGCGCCAGTGCACAGGAGGCAGTAGGGGAGGGAGGCGGACGGAGACAGAGAAAGAGGGAGCAGCGGGAAAGAGGGATCGGCGAGAGCCAGAGGAGAACAGAAATGGAAAAGTGGACATTTCCCCTCCCACCGGAAAGTATCTCCAACCCCGTCCTCAAGCTGGGCGCCCGGTTTTCCTCGGGTTTGGCTGGGGGCGGGGGCAGAAAAGAGGAGGAGCGGCCGGCGCGAGCGGTCCGGAGGTTGGCGCCCCAAGCCGCGGGCTCGGGAGTTTGCGCCCCTCCGCGCCGCCACTTTTGTTCTGCGCTCCAGGCGCCGGGCCGCGGCGGGGCGGCAGTGCGCAAGCGCGGGC